GGTGATCATTTTGTCCCCTCTCATGGAGTATCCTTGTTATTAATTAGCAACATTTTGCCATGGAATAGGTGAATTCAAGACTTCTGTCAGCCATAAGATAACTTACATAAAATTATTCATTGTGACTAGGGAAATTCTTTAGCAATAGGTGAAGTAGTGATCATCTCCAGTCACATTAAAAAGCACAACCTAAAAAATATACTCCATAGATTCAATCATCTCTCATATATGTGGACATTGCTGGAATGTTCTGGAATCTACCCTCCAGGATGGCAGAAGGGAGGGTACTAAAATGAGTCCTGGTAAAGGCCTGTCTGTAATGGGAGTAAAAGAATATAAATACTTTGCAGCCGCAAGCCTCTGTATTTCCCTCAGCAATTGGAAAAACTTTGCAATATAGCTCATTTCATATTATACCTGTGTACCACCAATCCGTTTTTTAATTCCTTAGCCTTATTCATACCCCAATTTAGCAGAAACTGAGGAGACAGACTGACTAGGGACATTTTACTTAGCTTGTGCATCCTTTATCTAGATTTAACGTATTCCCTGAAATTAGGGGAATGAAGCCAGTTAGAGCTAGGGTGATCATTAATCATACAAACTGAATTCACTGCCAAGTCCTAGCCTCCATCTAGGGGTCTTGCATCTAGTCTCAGTGCTGCACTGGGTGTTATAAACAAGGGTTTCAGAAATCAGACTGGATTTTTTCATACAATACAAAACTGGAATTGTGTCTCAGCTGCACCCCATATAATAGTTGGGCAGCAAACCTTGTATGCTATTTGACAGCAGCATTTATTTGTCAAGTTGATAAAAGTATAAAAATTCAAATAATTCTGCAAACGCAATCACAACCTATAGCTTGTGTAATAATATTATACAGCTACAATAAAGCTTTTTTCTTCCCTGTCTAGACACAACATTGTGTAAGACACTTACCAAAAACATGAGATGAAATCTATTATTGCTCATAAGAATGTTTCTTGGGAAATAATTTGCGAGTAAATCTCCAGTAAGATAGATAACAGTAAAGTTCAAGCAATCTCCTTAATTAGATATGTTGCTTAAATTACCAGAAAAGCTACATCTTTGATGTGAATAATGAATGCTTTATAACTGTCAGAGAACAGGTTCGTAAAACTGAAAAACCCAGAATACAGTTCTGAAATTGTAGGAAGGGACTTGATAGTGTCATGTCTCCCACAATCCATGTTGTACAGTATATTGGATCATTAAGCAATACTGTTACATGGACTTTGGGTATCCATTGATGTCAGGAACCATATTTTTCCATATAAAACTATGAAATCATTGCAGTGGTTAAAGTGTTGGGCATCGGCTGGGGAGACCCAGATACAATTCTCGACCATAAAACTAACTGGATGGGGGTTTTTTTAACTCCCATTTACTGCATAGGGTACTTATTTTTTGGAAGGGAGGGAAAGCCTACGTGTAAGTCGCCTTCAGCTGTCAAAAAAAAAGGAGGAATAGAAATGTAGTTAAATAAATAAGCTCTAGATAAAAAGATGTTTGTCCTTATTTGGAAGCAATTTTTTTCCAGTATAAACTCTGATACTATAAAAAGGATAATAGCTACATTTAATTGGAAGCCCTTCTGTTGGATGTCAGTATTAAGACAGTAATTATAAAAGTCATTAAGAGCATAAAAGCATCCATGGAAATGCTTACTGTGCAAATTGCATGCCGAATATGCTTGCAGTATTGTCTAGAGAATGAAGTGCACCTGCAATTTGTCATATTTGAGACTGCAGCATTGAAATGCATCCGTGTGTGCTGGAAAGACTTTCCAGTACTTATTGTAAATTTCTTAAAATAGAAATGTGCGAAAATAGGATTTTAGTAGATCAAGGTAATTGATAGAATTGAATATTAATTGCAGAAAATAGCAATGAAATGTTTTAATGAGATACTTGCAAACACAGATAATGAGTCTTTAGAGACTTGAATTTATGAGGTATTTTCCTTGTAACTATCAAAAGAATGCTCAAACCTGCGGCTGTGAGTACTTTTGATTTGTCGCCTTAATTTGTATTGTATTCATGATCTCAACTTCCTTTTCCCTGCTGCAGTTGGCCAGAGTAAGCAGAAGAGTCCCAAGAATTCATGTCTACAAACCCGGGCTTCTAAGGAAGTGCATTCAGCAGAAACAAAAGCACACGAGTTGATGCAATACAAAAGAAAATGTGAAAACCAAAGTGGAATTATCCAGCAGCTGAAGAAATGTTTGGCAAACAGCAATCGGAAATTGGAAGCATTAGCTCTTGTGATCCAGCACTTTCAGTCTGAGGTAAGGTTTCATTTCAAATTTATACATGCTTTATTTATTTATTTGTTTATTTGTTTATTTGTTTGTTTATTTATTTATTTATTTATTTATTTATTTAAATCTAGATGCAGGAGAAAAACTCCAAAATAAATGAGAAGCCTGAATGAACAGCTCAGTAATGCAAATTACATTTCCAGGGATGTTGACTTCCTATCCCACTCCATTTGCTGTATAGGGACATGATTGCCAAGTTTGGAATTCCTGCATGGGCTGAACTTAGGTCTTGCTTAAACTACTTGTCTCAGTAGTTACTTGAACTACTAGGGGAGATATTGTTCAAAGAAAATGCTGAGGTCCAAATCACTGCAGGCGCTCCCAATTTCTGTGTGCTCTTTCAATCATCCCTCCAGAGGCAGGAGATGGACAAGGGGATGTTTCCCAGGGTCTTCTGTGTTTCTGTTATTCAGTCTTCTGGTGGGATAGGAGCAATCCCATGTGCATGTTAGAACAGCCTTTCCCAATCTGGCACCCTCCAAATACGTTGGCCTCAAATGATTTAGTTATTGGTTATTGGATTTATACCCTGTCTTTCTAGTTATTTGCTAATTGAAACACTTGCCACAGTGAAGAACATACAACATGGAAGGACAACTGCATTATTGCACTCAAAATCCAGATTAAATGAAACACTAAAATAAATACATGATCAGCATTAAAAGAGTGGTGGAAGCAATATGTTTTTTATTGTTTCCTAATATGTTTCCTAAATACTGGGTAGAGGCCAAGCACATCCCTCTAAGTGCATTCCACAGCCTGGGAGCCGGGAAAAGGAGGCTTTTCCTGAAAGCTAGATAGTTGAATTTGTTGTAGTGAAGGCATCTACGGAAGGGCTTCTGATCTGAATAGCTGGGCAAGTCCTTTGTCAGAGAGGCAGTTCTGCAGATAGGCAGGCTCTAAGCCATTTAGGGCTCTATAGGTCAACAGAGAACTCCTTAGTTGCGTTATGTACATTGCTTTGAGATATACAAAATAAAGGTGGGATATAAATTAACTAAATAAGTTTTAAAAATTAACAAATAGCAACATTTTGATTTGTTCTTGATGTGCAGCTGGCAGCTAGTGCAGGGATTCATTATATGATCCCTGTATTTTGCACTCACCAGCAGCCTAGCTGCTGCATTTTGCACCAGTAGCAATTTCTGGATATGTTTATGCAACATAGAGTGTATTGCAATAGTCAACCAAGGTATGGATAGCTAACACAATGTCTGGCTCTTTCAAGAAGGATTAGAGGTGGCAGATCGGCCATAATTGTACAAATACACTCCTTGTTACAACTGCTGATTGCAAATCCAACAACAGCTGGGGATCAAGGAGCACTCCCAAACTGTGGAAGTATGCCTTGAACACATGGTTTGTTGAGAATGTTAGTTGTAATTGTAAATGAAATACTTTATAGTTGCCTGGTAGTGCAATTGAAGCCCCTGTGCCTGAAGCATTAAAGTAACTGTCCCCTGGAAAGCTTGCATGACTCTTTCGAAGACTGGTTGTCTGGAGATGTGGGTGTATGTACAGCTGCTTTATTTATTTTCAGTGGTGGTCCCAGCAGAAATGTTCTCTGCCTACATGGATGGACAGCTGGAGGCACTTTTGTTACAGCTTTGTAAGCCTTCTGGAAGACAAGGCTACTTTAACCTTTTGAAGACAAGTGCTTTGCTTTTGTTATCACACACTGTGCAGCCTTATATCGAAGTAACTCTCCTTTTGAAGCCAAGTGCTGAAATTTAGGTTGGGATGCTCTGTGCATTTCCAATAAGTCAGTTTTCCACCATACGTGTATATTGTACCCAGCTAGGGGGTGGCACCTTGGCTGACCTTGAAAAGTAGAGCAAGATTTGACTTGGTTAATACCTGGTGATTCTCAGGAAATCTCAGAGCTGAAGACTAAACTGGGAAGTTGAAAGCACCCTAGAAGAAGGAAGTGGCAGAGTGATTTTGTATTATTGCTCAACTCAGATGAGACTTTACCTTTATATTTGTCATGCCTGATCTCAAATCAAATATTTTCCCAATCTTCTTCAGAGAAAACAAAACTTAGATATTTTGAAGTGGTAGAAACCCATTTCTTGTCATAGGAATGAGAATGAGCAAGCACTGGGTTTCTGCAAATGCCAGTTTAAACACTGCATCAGTCATTCTACACCCTTGATGAAGTGAACTACAACTCAAAAAAGCTTATGCCTTTTAATAAAACTTGTTAGTTGGAAAAGGTGGTATTAGACTCCTTCTGATTTAATGTTACTTAATACCCACCTCTGGTATCTTATCTTGGATTTGTGAAAGTGAGATGGATAAAACAAGCAGTGCTGAGATTTCATGGAGGTTTGTTCATGTAACATTGGTTTCCTTTAACCCTGAAACAAAGTGTTGCATCTTAGTCACAAATTCAGTTTTGAAAGCTAGTTGTAGCTTTTCATTTAAATCAACATACCAGTATCATAATATTGTACATTTTAAATCTATTTTTCCCAAAAGACAATATCCCTGTAATGAAAACAGTGTTGCCCAGGATACCATTATTACAGAAGTCAGTACATCTGCCTGCTTGTTTATCTGAGTGTCAAGAAGAAAACTTTTTCAGGAAGAGTTACAATTTTTTAAAGACTAACTGTTGCTAGAAACACTCGTTTAAAAAGCGCTTTCTTATGTTACCATGTCTTCAAAAGAACAAGTGTTGAACCTTCTACTTAAAAAGGTAATGAGGTCATAGTACTGCACTAGGGACACTTCTGTTGTCATGGTAACTTTGATGTCACAGTCTTTTTTTTCCCCCCACTACCTTGATCTTGGGGGAAAGATTGAGGAAGGGCTGTTGTTGCTTAAACATACTCTTTTAATTAAATCATGGCTATAAAACTGTCCAAATGTAAATGCTTACTTCCTTGAAAAAGCCTTTTAGGAATATATAACAGCTTCTTCATCAAGGAATTGCAGAGAGCATGGGTCTGGCTTTAATCTTGAAATTATATGTGTCAGACCTCTGAGATATAATATTAAAGGCCCATGAATTTATTGAGCTATTCAGATTTCATTGTATCTACTTCATCAATAATTGTATTACAATTCATGGGTTGCAAACTTGCAAAACTCTTCCATGCCTTGGGATTTGATCAATTAACCATTTTGAATTCCATATCCAGCTACAAGAAAGAAGTGGTAAGTCCCTTGCAGTGATTGTTTTTTCATTTTAAAAGAAATTACTGGAGTACTCGTTATACATTAGGCCATTCTTGCATCTGAAAGCCAGTTTTTATTCATATTTTTCAACCTAGGTTTCTTGTACCATGTAAAGGAACAATAATATTCAGTGATTTGCGTACGTAGAAACATAGAAATGTAACCAAACCTGATCAGTTGTTGTTTAAGGATCTTAAGGACAAATGCAAATGAGGCTTCCTTACATGTGATAATACCTTTTTCACATGAAGAAAAAAACTAATTGTTCTGTCCATTTCTATCATACATTATCTGGTGATAGAATATTTCACTATGTTCTTGTACGGTTGAAGTTGAATAATAATAACACATAGGAATAATGCTGGGTTTCCTTCAAAAACGGATACCTGTTGCCAATGCCATTTTTTTCTTGACAGCTGTTTCTACCCCATCCCTTTCCAGCAAGGTCCGGCAGATTCAGTAAAAATAGGTAGCAGTAACATGGGAGATAGAGGATTCCAGGTATGGGAAGAATAAAAGGGTTTTGGATTGCTGATGTACGATTCCCTTTAACTAGGAATGAACATCTTTAGTTTGTTTTGTGGGAAATACCCTACAGCAGTATATTTCAAACACAATACCTTTTGTCATTCCATGGTCCTGCAGTTACACTGTAGTAGATAGTTATATGGGTTGAGAACAAGGTTACTTCTGTCTCTAAAAATGAAGCCACTTAATGAGCATTTTTACACCTCCTTGCAAATTGATGCACATGGCTTTGCATAGGAACAGCTATGAGATTTCAGCTGAAATGCATGTTTTGGATGTCAATGACTACCTGATTTTCAGTACAATATGTAGATACTTTGTGGGAAAGTGTCAGCCTGGTTGTTCTAGAAATGCGAACCAGTTCTTTACTACCCCCTGTAGGAATAGATTAGGAAAGGACTGTAAAGTGGAAGGTAGGTTTCATCTATTAAAGAAATAAATGAATTTTAATAACAGCCTTTACACATTAAATCAGCATCTTATAAAAATTCAATACAAAATTATGACAAACTGACACTCATTTTTTATTCTAGCTGTTACAGGAAGTAGTGATACTGTCCTATACAGTAATGAGCAGGGCACAACACTAATTTGGATTGAAGCATCCAAATTAAAATTGGAATAAATTTTCTAGTTTTCTGGAAACCTGCTGATCTTACAATCTGGATTCTTGTTCTCATAACTGAGCAAATTAGACTTAAATGAGCAGGTTAGATGTGTAAGAAATCAAGAGCAAAACACTAACATCGGTTTTCTTGTAGTTTTGGTGACGTATGAAATCGACTTCGAATGTTGTTTCATATTTTTCCACTCCTGTTTTACTTTAGAAAACAGCAATTTTTAAAGTCATACTATTCACAGCCAGTGCAAGTAATGACTTTTAGGGCCAAGCATGAATTATTTTTAATTATTTACAAACTCATAATTTTATTTATTTATGTACTGTATTTATTTAGCAATATTTATTTACAATCCCATTTAACAGACTCTGGGTAGTATATGTATGCTAAGAAATAATATTTTAAACATAATTCCATCTTTTCTCAAGATGGACAGCAGTTTGAATTTTGCTAACGTGAATATGACAAAACTATAAAAGCATAGCCAAAATAAGACTGTTATGTTTTTATTTGTAAGGCTCTATCCCATTTGCTTATTTTAAATGATTTTCCCTCTGCTGTGAATCTGTTAACCTATACAAACAAAGTATAATTTGACTGTGTTTTATTTATTATATTTCTCAATTGCCCAGTGATTACAGTTCTCTGGGCAGTAAACAAATCAGTTATAGATAAGCAAAAGGATACAAAAAGATTTTTGAAAATAGCACAGTAATTGAGATAAATTACAGTAATACTTCGGTTCACAAACGCTTCTGTTCACGAACAATTCAGTTCGCGAACAGCAGCATTCGCAAAATTTTGCTTCCGTTCGGAAACTCCACATCGGGTGACGAACACGACCCGCAGCTATCTTCCCTGCTCTGACACGTGGTCGTGGCTTCCTCTAGGCGAGATTGCGGTCGCAGACAG